GGGGCAGGGTGGGTGGGGCGTGTCAGCCTCCCCACCAGGTGCCCTGCCAAGATTTCTGAGTGGAGACACACACCTGCTCCGTGGCCCGGGTCCCACATGTGCATGCTGGGGCCCCAGCCTGGAGCTCTGGGAGGCCAGTGCACACCCAGGCCTGCAGCCCGGTTCTGGGCACCCCCACCCTAACCTGCCTGGGACACGCCAGCAGATAGCAAGAAACTAGCCTCCAGGCAACAGCTAGGAGGGGAAGGGTTCTCAGGGCACTGGATCTTCCCAAGTTAAAAGCAATGCCTGAGGGCAGGCCTGCTCTAGAACATTCCACTCCTCTCCCAGGCGCCCCCCAGCACCTTTGTGTGCCTGGTTCCTGCATATTCCTCTCTTCCCTGGAGGCTGGGGGACCCTACAGACACTAGTTCACCGAGGCACCCCAGCCCCTGACACGCCTGGAACTCGGCTGATCTTCTTTTGAACGGGAAAAGAGGCGGTGCGCCTATTTCTCCATGTGGCACAGCCTCCAGCAAAACACTAGCAGCCACTGTCTCAGCAGGGGAGTTACCAGAGGTCTGAAGTTTTTTTCACCCAGTCCTCAATTTTCTAACTTGTGAACAGTGACGGTCCATCGCTAGGTTGGTGAGAAAAGCAAGAGGCGCAGGCCCCCAGGACGGGCTGGCCCCTAACCTCAGGCCCCAGGCCTGCCAGCCACAAGGGTGACAGCCCCTGCCCACCCCCAGCCCTGTAGCAAACCCTCGGGAGCTAAGAGGCGAGAGTCAGCCTGGAAGCCTTTCAAAGACCCCTGGGATGGGCAGTCGTAGTATCAGGAATCAGAGACCAGTTCGTGCCGCTCCAGGAGGAAGCGGTGAAGCAGGTGGCTTGGAGGCCGAGTGGGCGATGACATCCCACTGCACGAGGCCCCCGGGGCAGGCAGGGGAGCCTGCAAAGACTGTTCCTGAGAGGAGTCCCTTCCCGGGGTGGGGGCCGCCCCTCACATCCCCACTGCCCTCAGGGTGCCGCTCTGGGGCTCCTGTGATTAGAGTGGGGGCTGTGGGCCCCCAGGGCCGAAGCGCGGGGCAGGTGGCCTTCCCTCTCCAGCATGTTCTGAGCCCGATGGGATGAGCCGTTCCCAGCGTGGGAAGCCAGGAAGCTCTTAATGGGAAAAGCAGCCGCTTCTCCCACAGCCAGTCTCGCTGTCAGGTGACACTGGTCAGGGGACCCCCTCCCCCCGCCCCATGACTCAGCCTGGGCAGGGTCCCTTGTCCCCTCTTGCTGCAAACTGAGGCAAACGGCTGTGTGGCCGGGCCTTAGAGAAGGCTGAGCAGCCACCCCCACACCAGCCCTGGGAGCCCACCCACATGCCACCCACTGCCCCGAGCCAGGCCATTCCATCTGCTCTGCCCCGGTGCTCCACAGCAGCCTGGGAGGGTGGGCACCCCGTCCCCAAGTCACAGATGAGGAAACAGGCTCCGAGAGGGAGGACACTCCCCGAGCCCCACCCCTGCCAGCCACAGAGCTCCAGCTCCTCCAGGGCAGCTCGGGACTCCGCCCACATCCCCCTGTGCCAGTCAGAGGGAGCAAGCTGTCCCCAGTGCCCGCAATGTCCCCCCTTCTTCCCGGGTGGGAAGGGGCTGAGCCTCCCAGCGCAGGAATGGCTTTTAACAATGAGCACCAGGGACAAGGCCACCCTGTGACCCACTCACTGTGTGACTTCCGAGCTCTCAGGGCTTCTCTGGGGGCCATGGCTGGGGGGACTGCCAGGCCCACATGGTGTCAGAGGGCACAGGGAGCACTGTGGTGGCCCTTCAGGCGGTGGGGTTGTCTCAGAGCCCTTAACCTGGGGGCTGGAACCCTACAAGAAACAGCACAGGGTGAGCCTGGTGTGGCCGCCTCTTTTCCATCTCCTCTTCAGAAAAGGAGGCATGAGCTCTGCGTGCATGCTCCCACACGTGGGACATCCTATCCTGGCAGGGCCTGAACCCCGCTACAGGTGCAGACATGAGGCTCCAACGGGGTGAGGGGAGAGCTCCCCCAAGGCCACCCTGGCCTGGGGCCTGGGGCAGGTGCTTCAGAGAACCCCATTCATTCTATCCTCATCCCCCCCCAAGATGAGATCACTGTCGCCCCCAATATGTAGAGGAGACACTCAAGAAGGGAGGGCACACAGCTTGCCGTGGGACAGTCCCCCACCCCTTGTCCACACAGCCTCCTGCACACATCAGCTGGCCAGGAGTGGAGCAGGAGACCCCCTCCAAGGATGTTGTTGCTGCTTGGGGGTCCCCCAGGGGGCTGCCCTCCCCGAGGAGCCTCAGGCCATGCTCTGCTTCCTGCCTCAGCCCACAGAGATACCCCCCAGCCCTGCGCGGCCCCCTCCTGCAGTGCCTGTCCCCCGTGTCCCCCACCCTGCTGAGTAAAGCCCTGGCTCCCCCTGCAGCCCTCCTCTCCCTGCCCCTCTCACCTGGATGCGGGTCTGTAGCTCCTGTCGCAGGTGGGCCACAGACCTCTGCATGGAGAGGATGTCCCTCTGATGTTGCAAGAGCAGCTTCCTGTTTTGGTGCATGAACAGGTGAATGTTCCGCAGGTATCGGATTTCCCTCTGAACAAGCCAAAGAGGGGAAAACGTCAGTGTAATCCCCGACCCAGCATGAGCTCATGAAAGAGACAAAAGCCAATGAACAGGAAAGGGGTGTCTGGGAGGACACCCTGTCTCTGGGCTGTGCCGGGGCCTCCGCCCTCCACGGCCCTTTGCCTGTCCTCCCTGCTCAGCGTCCCCGGCCTCTGGCCTCCCCTGGGTCTGGCCAACGAGGCACCAGCAGGAGGCAGGAGAGAAGCTGGGGTACTTATTGCCCAGGTGTCCCCAAGCAGGACCAGCAGAGGCTGGCTGTGCCTCCTGCCCTCCCCCTCTCTGAGTTCTGGGCTCTAACTTGTCTCTTTCCTGAGCTGTCCTAGGCTGTCCTCTGTTCCCTGCTGTGTCCTCGGTGGATACACCACCTTGCACAGAGCATGCACTCTGGCTTTTGTACACCCGCTCTCGAGGTGGCAGCCTTCACAGGTCAGACAGGAACCTGGGGCTCAGCAGAGCTGCAACTCTCACCCAAGGCCCCAGTGGTCAGGGGTCCAGACCCAGCCTCCACCATGGCGTCTCCACCTACGTACACACAGTCTGGGCTACGGGGGTGATGGGAGTGGTTCCTGCCGCTGGGCAGCTCCAGGACCGCCTGCCAGGGCCCCCAGGACAGGGCGTCCCCCCGGCAAGTCCACTTGAATTTTTCTATCTCCACGTCTGAGAGGGTCCTTGGATCTGCGGCCAGGGTCTGCC